CCAAGAGCCTTAGCATGTAGCTGCTAGGCTGTGTGGGAGAATTCAGTGCTTCATTCCCCTAGCAAAAGAATTGCAAAGGCAGGTAAAACCAGAAAAGGTGCATATAAATCTTTTTTTTTATGGTGGAAAGTCACTATTAGGATAGTCTGACTCTTTTGAACTGTCCAGTTTAGAATTTTCCTAGCCCATGGAGGAGGATCGTCATATCCTATGCCGAATGCATCAGCACAACTAATGCACAGCCTCCATTGTGCTTTGGTCAGACCTCTGTCAGTGCTAAGCACAGAAAATGATTCACACTGCTGCCAGCCACATCCTAGATCCCCCCTGCAAAGGACAGGGACGGGAGTAACAGCCATTCCTAGCAGTCACTCTTGACTGTTGCTTCTGCAGTCCAGCCTGGACACGAAGCAGCTCCATGTCCCTGTTCCCTATTCCTCGCATCCCTTCCCTGAACACCTGCACGAGGCCCTGGGGAGGCAGGAAGGCTGCACAGCTCTCTGGTCCAGCCTTGTGCACAAGCAGGAGGGAAGCAGTGGGAGGAAGAGAATGAGAACATCAGCAGTGGAAAAAGCAGCAGGGTCTCTGGAGGTGCTACAGGAGTGGAGCCTGCTAACAGGCTGCAAAGTCCTGCCCTGCCAAACTATGCCAGGAAGACACACAAAGCAGAGCCTCCACCATCTCTGTAGGCAGTCTGATGACTCAGAACGTGAGAGGTTTAGCATGGGCCGCAACCAAACGGATTTCATTAGCTGCACCTACGTGTTATTGTTATTTTTTCCTTGTTACTGCAGTGCTGCCTAGAAACCTGAGCCTCGCAGGGCCCCACGCTGGAAATGCTCTGAGATTGTCTCTGCCTCCGGCAGCTTACACAACAGGCAAGAGACAAAAGATGGGGAGAGCTGGAGGAAAAAGCCTTTCATGCACAGAGGATACACCTGGAGTTGGATTATACCTGGTGGACAGCAGCAGAACAGGCTGAGACAGCACCCCAGCAACACCAGAGCCAGAAAGAGCTACAAAGACAGCATTAAGAGGTGCAGGGTCCTGCTGTGCCATATGATGCACCGAGGGTACAGCTCCCTTATTCCTCTCAGCAAAACCATAACTAAGAGTAAGAAAGATTCGAGGCTTTTCACCGTGTGAAAAAGCACATTTCATCTGTGCAAAGGGAGGCTAAAGTGCACTGTGCTGATGGAAATGGCCTCAGGAAAAATCAGGGCCTCAGTATTTTTGGAGACACAAAAATTGCCAGTGCAATTTGGGCCCATTCACATTTTTCTTCTAATCCTGCATTCTTTTGTCATCCTTCTACTAAATCAGAACATGTTTCTATGAATCATCATCAACAACCCTGTCCTCTGAGCCCTGTGGCTCGCCCTGGTGCTATTTAGCTTCCTTGCAAACATTCAACCAACTAGGTAGCATGTTTGCTGTCACCACTGGCTGTGCCACCAAAATAAATTAACTTTTCATTACATTTCATGCAGTAACTTGTTAACTTTCCTCATGTACTTCCATTATAAGCTCCTTTGGGCCACAAGCAGCTTTTCTGAACTGCACAGCTGGATTACACAAGCAGTGAGTATTTATAAATGAATATAGTTCATGTATGAGCTGTTCCAAAGGAAGTTCTCAAAAGGTGGTACACTATTTTTTTCCTCAGTCCTATCTGTGTCACTTGCATTGCTGGTTCTGGTCGTTAGAAAAACAGGGACATTAAGTAGTGCTTCTTCCACCTCACCAGTGCACTGTATTGCTGCTTCACACACAGCATTGTCACTTGCTTTCCTTTGCTTACAGTTCAATTTCATGGCTACATCTTAATTTGTGTGTGTGTGTATAGTAATTATATACCAGCCAAATGTAGGCCACCTTTACAGGAACCTTAGAGGGCTGCCATCTCTGAGGACCTGTGCAAACAGCAAACGTAACCGTGCTGATAGGAAAGAAGTCCCGACTTGTAGCAGCTGGGGCCACACATGGTGCCTGCGCACGGGCAGTGCTCCCGCTCCTGCCGAGCCTGCGGGGTACCCGGCACCAAGCGGGGCAGTTCGCAGCCTGCAGCAGCGCAGGGCTTGGCAGGGCTCCCGGATCCAGCCCAGCGCCTTCCACCCCGGGAGCAGCAGGACTTTATTTAGAACCCGCTGTATTTCTACAGCTGCCAGGCTGCAAAGTGCCAGTCTTCAGCAAGAGGGAGAAAGACTATAAATAGGGCCATCTGGGCTACCACCAGCAGTTTTTGGTCAGCTTACGTTTCTTGCTTAGCTTAGGAGGAGCAGGAATCTGATCAGGAGGCTGTACAGCACAGTGCAGACATTAGCAGCAGCTCTTTTGTCCAGTCAGTAACTCTCCTTTATTGTTCTAGATACCCAGATGCAGCCGCTCGTTTTCTTGCCAAGAACAGCACTGCCATTCATCTGTGCTCTCCTCAAACTCTGATTTTTTTTTGCAAACTCTCACCGTGCAAACGGTCACAAATTTTCATGAAGCTAGCTGCCTGTGAGGGAAACAACTTCCTTTATCGTCAGAACAAAAGATAAAATGAACCCTCCCCAAATTAAGTGGCCAGAGGTAACAAGTTTCATTTTTTGAGGCTTCTGGAGCTTTAGGAAGAGCCGTTTACTAGTTCTTGCCCTAATCTGTATCACCATCTAGGCTCACTTGGGGCTATCCCTGGAGTTCTTTGTGTAAAGGAGGAACATTGATGCTGCAGGGCAAATGCACAAAATAAGATCAAGAGCCCAGTCTGGCACTGGACTTGTTTTTCTCATAGGTATCTCTACTGAGTTTTTTCTTCCCTCACTTTGCGTGTAACTCAGAATTACTACTAGAGAGAAAACCCCTATTTCCACAGAATTCTACTGCCTAGCGTCACTTTCAGCGAGTATATTTTATTTACAGTACAAAGCTAATGGAGGTCATCTTTTAACACTGCATTTTAGATTCAAACTGGTTGAACTCCAGCCTGAGCTTTTCAAAGAGGTCTGAGGCAAGACTGCAGCACAGTAATTCCCTCCCTTCCTCACCCTCCAGGATGCACCCCTAAGAGGGGCAACGCTGAAAATAACTGAGGGACACATTATCTCAGTGTTATGCCATGTGTGCAAGCAGATGGGATTACTTGTGTCAAGAAAAATCAAATACCAACTATTACACCTGCAAGCAAACTGTCAAGTCTTAGGGAGACAGCTGGATCTCATAAATCTTTCCCTCCTGCCACACAGTCTATACAAGAGAGCACTCACTGGCCCGTGTTACCTCTGACACGCTGCATAACCTGCCCCTTGTTCGCCGAGCCAGAGCAAGGCTTGCACGTGCATCTGTGCTGCACGAGAGGTTATAGTGCTGCAGCTTTGGCAGATGGGCCGACCTCTAGCCTTGTCCAGGAATCTCAAAATCCTCCGTTCAGCCTTAGCAGCTCAGCTATGTGCCCAGAGTACCAGGGACCCTTCCCCGAGAGGCCTCTGTGGCTGCAGCCTTTTCAGGACACTCCAGCCACCGTCCAGCCCCCAGACCAGGCATCCCCTTCACGACAGGACAGATTGACACAAGGCAAACCTAAGAACTGTTTTACTGGAAGTGAATTTTTGGGATCGCTCCGGACACATTCCCATGTGTTACTGTCAGCTGTTGTGTTTTCTGCACTGCTGATGCTTGCTG